TTCAGTTCCATCATCTCCAGTGATGACACTATCCAGCCAGAGTTAAATAGAAGGATCGCTCTAGAGTCGAGTGCTTTTGGAATCATATCCAATATTTAAGCTGAGAAAGAAATTACCCTCCAAAAGAAAATCCGACTGCATTTTGCTTGTCAGGTTAGTGTTGTTGTACTGCAGAGGCAGTTGTTTTAACGAAGGAGCAAGAACGATGGTTGAACTACTTACAACAGCTTGGGGCTTCGATGCATAATCAGGGTTAATGGCAGGGCTATATAAGGAATAAGTCTATTTTCTTCCACGCACAGGTGACCTGTAAATGTGGAAATTAAGAAAAGGAGGTTTGCCCTAGTAGTCAAAGTATCTTAGCGTACACCATTTACTCCAGCCCGTGAGCTTGCAACACTGGGGGACAAGATACAGGCAAGATACCGGTGCGTTACAGCGAATGTGTTGAAAAGCGTTCTTTTTATGCAAACGACTCAATGCGACGATCTTAAGAAACACGTGACCTTATTAAAGACACTTACTTCTCAGCTTAATAAATAAGCCTTTATTACCGCATTCGTGTTGAGGCAAACTGTAAAATTCAGATTACGTTACGATCCTAGCAATTTTTTATAGGCATTTTTTTTCCAAGAGCGATTAAAAATTCGTCATGGACAACTGGGTAATTCAAGGAACAGGAAATTAGGAAAACCAAATTCTTTTCTCCCGGTAATGAACTTTATACAAAATTAAACGTACGGGCTTCAGGTTTCGCATTGTGTCGATCAGTTCTTGCATTCGTTCGTTGAAGTCAGGCGCAAATACTTCAGGATCAATGGCGATGAAACTCTGACCCTATAAAAAGCTGGCCAGTCGTGAAGCTGATTCTTACTGAAAACAGCCGTACCAAATTGGCCACTTTTGTCGTGTTCTTCCATTTACGAATATGAGGACCCCAGTCACCGTCAGCTAGTATGCCGCAAAATATCTCCACCAGCATAGCCAGACCGTATCCCTTATAGCCACCTGAAATTTCAGTTTAGAACAATATAAGATAATGTGCACTATGCGACTTACTTGAAATTTCCGTGCCACCCAAAGGCAGCAGGCCTCCTCCTGAGAGCACTTCTTTTGGATCAGTGGTTTCCTGAAATCATGCAGAGAAAACTGAATCTGTACCATAAATAGTAGTCGATGACAAGTGAGGAACAGGGATTCAAATAAATTCTGTGGTTCAACAATGAACTAAGAAATGTTTAGCCAAAAAATTTTGAAAATAAAAAACAGATGTTCCAACAGGAGGCATAAAATCTGAATTTCGAAGTCGAAGGAAGAACAAGAGGAAAAAATTAAGTAAATAAGTAGTTCGATACTTCTAAACCTTACGGCATACCTGACTGAAACGAATGCGAAACTTCAGATCAGCAGCTGTCATGAACTACTGCAAAAATATGAATCATTTTATTACTGTCCTTATTCGCATTTCTCGCTTTCTTTCCATTAGCGAATGGGTTATAGGAAATGAAAAGCGGAAATTTCGAACAGTTTTAATTTTAAGTCTCTTCACAGTGAACAATAGGTTATGAATACACTTCAGTCAATCTCCTCTTTCGACTTTCACGCAGGATCCATGACTGAGGGAAGGTTCCTTTGCTACGCTTACTTTTGCTCAACAATGCATCGAACCTATGCACCGGCACAGGGCGGCCGCACACCGCTGTTGTGTTGTCATCGTCATCTAAGACTATCAAAGCTTAAACAGCAGAGTATCCTTGATTTGTGTGATGACTGTCTGTGTGCCCTTGAAAAAGGCTATCAGGTGAGTCTACCATAACTAGAACGGCTTTTTCCATCAAAAGAGGGCAACAGTCAAAGTTGGAAGATCACCAGTTGCAATCACGGTCAAATTAGTTGCTCCTCTTTTATCCGTCTGACCCGATAATTGGTATATGAGCATAACTTCACGGCAAAGACGGAGGTCGATATCATTCATTCAATATCAAAACCCACTACCTCTTTCGCATTGGGGCATCTAATTCAAGAAGCATTTCAGTTTTTCGTAGTCCGCCACCAAATGGAGAAAATCGATGGTCTGGATTCGAAGGTAGGACAATCCCAGGTTTTCTTTACAAGCGAACCAGCTGGTTCGCAATGTGCCCTGGGGCCGTCTTCCCTGTAGCTTTACCAGGAGAGTAACTGTGTAGATAGTACTTTACTGACAAGCTTCACAGCAGATACTGACAAGCCAAGAAAAATCAGGCCTCTCGCAGAGATCTATCCACCGGTCCAATCCATAGATTGCTCTCGTCAAAATCAGTGGATGGTTTCTCAAAGATGAAACCTACATCCCATTATAACACAAAAAATATTACTAAAGAAGTAACCCATTTAATGAAAAAATTAACTTAGCTACAGCGTCGAGAAATAAAACGGCAATATTTACTTGTCCGTCAGCACGCGCTCCCCAGCAGAGTGGAATATCGACTTTCTTTCTGTCAGCCATTTCGACCTTTCCAACCGCAGCAGTAGTAGTAGCCATGTCCAGAACAAAACTGTCTCCATTTTTACCAGGAGCAGCAAGGGATAAAGGATTTGTTCCAAGCGTTGCCTTTAAAGGTATTGTACAATGTAGAAATCAGCAGAAAGTCAAAAACGATAGTGATATGTACTAAAAAAAGTGTTTAATGAACCTCATGAAAAATAAACGAATATAACGCAAATCAATCCTGTTTACATCGTTCCTATAAACTGCTGCCTTGAACCATGGACCAGGAAACGAAGCGATATAACTGTTATTCCAAAAGACAAGGCATTTATATCTCCGTTAATTCTTAATTGTGAAATTATTACGTATGGTAATTTATTTAACATAATGCAACATCAACGTTTTTATCAGGGTGATCCGGAAGTCGGTCATTATCTTGTACCGGGGTTGCTTATTCGATAGATCGTCGGACTCAGAATCAAGAGGTCCCGGGTTCGAGTCCCTGTTGGGTCATTCGTCTTTCTTCCTTTCGACGTTGGTAAATGAGTACCGCCCGATGGGAATGAAACTATGCATAACATGTAGCTGCAGATTCTGCCTTTATAAAATGCTGTTAGTTAGCTGATGGCATAGAAATAAAAATCACCGTCGAACTATAAGCTGCATGAAATGAACGAAGCCACAAATGGTTCCAATCATGAGAGTGTAAGAAAGACCAACTTCCCAACGGTTAGAAACTTTTCATTGTTTTTTCAGTATTTCGAGACTTTCTTCACGGTACAATTATAAGGAAATTAAACGTGGTATTAAACTATTACACTACATAGAATTTTTATAATTAAGTATTATTTATTGTTTTATTCTTGGCAAATACTGGATTATCACATTAACCGCCAAAACTGATTCGGAAAGCTGCAGCTATCTGTAGCTGTCTAAATCAGTTTCATACTGAGACTGAGGTAAAAAATACAATGTAGGTCAAAAATCGACAACCTTATGACTGTAGTTTAAAATGTGGTAAGGCAACATGCCCTTAGCCATAATCACTAGTGAGATGATAACCAATTTCAGTCAGTCATAAATCATTTTACTTCTATAATGGGCAGTCACGGATCATTTCTCCTTCCTCACAAGGAGAAAAAGCGTAAACAAACAAGAAACATGCGACAAATGGCGGCATGAATAATAATGCAGACTACGAATATAATCATGGACGTATGTAAAATGAAACTCTGTTAGCTTCTGTTCTCCAAACACATGTAAATATTCTGGTAAAACGGCGAGAAAAGGATCTGGGTATTTAGAATGAAATCAGACCATCCCGATGAGAACTTGCAATCGATTACCTGTTCCTATGTGTACCTCTAGTAAAAGGCATTAGCCCAATAATGACTAATACATCAACAACTACATCCTGATCTATGGGTATAGCACAGCTCAAAGCAGCGTTCAGTGTAAGATAATTCAGAGTAAAAACATTGGACAGACAAAAGTTAGAAATTTTTTTCGAAAAAAAATGAAAATCTCAAAACTGTTATTCCAGCACATGCTCACAAGCTGTAACGAACTAGGAATACATAAATAATAAAAACAAGTAACAGTTCAAGAATCCAGGAACAGAT